GAGGAACAAGTGTTCAAATGCCCGAGCCTACATTTTTCCTTCAAAGAACCACATTCCACTACCTGGCTCCCATGGGCTCATGGCAATATGATAATGCAAAATGCATTTAGTCTAACTTCAAAAGTCCTCATAGCCTTTAGCAGTCTCAACACTGTTGAAAAGTCTGAAGTCCCAAATCGCTTCTAGGACTCCAGGTCTCTTAACTGACACTGAAAAGGCAAAAACCAATGTTAGATGCTTTGGACACACAATGACACAGAGCATACGTTCCCATTCCAAAAGGTGAGCAATGAGGGCATAATGAAGAAATACTGAAAGCAAGACTGCTGAGACCCAGCAGGGCAAACACCAGATACTGCAGGCTCATGCCTGGTGTTCAGGGCTTTAGTTCCAATGGGTTTGGATGCTTTGCTGTCTGCAACATACTTTTCTCTCGGACTGGTTCCAGTCACTGTTGGCAGTTCCCCTTGGCAGATGTCTCACAGCTCTGAAAACATCTCAAAGTCTCCACTGCATCCTGGGCTTCACCTTTACTGATGCACAAATGGTCTGTCATGGCCTTTTTGCAGGGCATCCCCTGCCACATGTTGCCTGGCCTCAGCAGTTGTCTGAAGTGGCAGAGGAAGAACCCATGACCCCCTCAATCTTGTGTTTTTCTTAACTTCAAAACAAGAACCATATGGAGGACAAATTCAATTGCAAGCTTCGAATGGACTCCTTCACCATATTAACAGCATATTTTGATTGTTGAAGCAGTCAAAACAAGAACCATATGGAGGACAAATTCAATTGCAAGCTTCGAATGGACCCTTGCCTCCTTCACCATATTAACAGCATATTTTGATTTTTGAAGCAATTGCTTACTAGGAGCAAGCAAGCATTTAGGCTTTCTCACGAATTGGAGGTTTTTCTGAGGGGGGTCTTGCCCTCAGGCTACTGTTCACATTGTTCCAGTACAGAGCAGGAAACCTCTCCATAATGAAACTTACCTCTTTTATAGCCTCTCTTTTAGCTGGTTCCTTGGGTGCAACCTTAAGCTTCCCAATGCTCTTTGTTTTCTCTCCAAATTCTACATTTTTCATTTCTTTCTGACCCACTTTTTTTTTTCCTTGTAGACCCACATAAAAGCAATCAGAAATAGCCATACCACAAGCTCAATGCTGTTATCTTGAAATTTCATCCACCAAAGAAATTAGTCCATTACTTTAAAATTTATTCTCACATAAACTCTCACATCATGGGCAGGAAAAACTAGATTCTTTGCTAAAATATCACATGAATGACCTCTAGCCCACTTCATAATAAAGTCCTTGCTTCCTTCTGAAACCTCATGAGCCAGAGCTGAACGTCCACAGCCAGCTTTCCTCCCAGGACTGCTGTCATCCAGGCTTCTACTAGAATGGCCTGGTAAGCTCTGATTCTTAGGCAGTGGGGTAAGGAGTCACTCCCTAAAGTATTAATTCTTAAGAAATAGATCACAAATTTAAGAAAAACTATTAAATGCATAAAAATTCGAAACACTGATCCCAAGGAAACGCGATGACATGCAAGACAATAAAAAGACATGAGAAAATACAGGTTGTGTGAAAGTCACCCCAAAAATAGAAACAACTTCCCAAAAAGAAACAGTCAAAGGTTTTAGAGACAAAAGCTAGTAGTAGAAAAACCTCTCAATTTGAAGACTTCAGAAGTACATAAAAGCAGAAGGAATTGAAAATCTATTTCAACTACATAAATCAGAAATGAAGAAAGTTAAAATTATAACTGGTTATGATACTTAATTTTGTCAATTTTACAGAATCTAGAATCACCCTAGAGATAATTGTGAGGGATTATTTATCCTATATTAACCTATAGACATGACTGTAAGGGGTTTTTCTTGACTAAAGGGGGAAGACACCCTTAATGTGGATAGTATCTTCCAGCAGTAGCCCAGATATAAGGAAGTCCAAAGATAAAGTTGTTGCTTTTCATCTGATTTCCTTAATATCTGGCTTTTAAGCTCATCTACTCTGTTTGCTGCTGTTGACACTGCTACTGTCACTGTGGATACTATCCTTTGCTGACATCAGAACTCAGTTTCTTTGAGATCAGCAGCTCCCTAGGAATCCTCTTGGCCTTCAGTGCCTCATTGGAACTGCTGAGGCACCCAGCCTCAGGTACCAAGCAGCTACCAGTACTCAGCCTCTCCAGTCTGAAGACAGCCATTGTTGGGAGTACCCAGACTATATCATGTAAGCCAATCTAGTAAATCCTCTTTTAATATACACTTGTTCTGTTGGTTCTGTTTCTCAAGAGAACCCCGACTAACATCTACACTGCAGAAGTAAAAAGGATTACAAAAAAACTATTTGAATAATTATATGGTAAAATCCTGTGAAACTTAGAAGAATTAGGTACATTCCTGGATGTATACAATTTATAAAACCTGATCAAGAAAATACAATAATTATAAACAGATTGCTGAAGAGTAATGTTATTGAAGCAGTAATGAAACATGTCCCATCCAATAAAAAATCCTATAACCTGATAATTGTGCTAATGAATTCTATAAACATTTAAAGAGACACTTCCAGTTCTTAAAGTATTTAAAAAACACAAATAGAAGTGCCTGTGACTCTGTCAACATAATTTAAAGGGCAAGCATTTCAAAACCAGACAAAGACACAGCGACAATAGAAAAGTTATAGACATATATCCCCATGCACATAAATGCAAAATATATCAACAGAATATTAGTAGATAATTCAGCAGCATATCAAAAATGTCATAAACAAGATCAACTGAAATTTACCCCAGGGATGCAAGGATGGTTTAACATTTGCAAATTAATAAAAAATACAATACAGCCAAGGGCAAATACTATATGATCATCTCTATAAGTGCAGAAAAAGTATTTAATTGGGTTCAATATCCCTTTGTGATAAGAACTCAACAAATCAGGTATTAAAAGAACATACCTCAAAATATTAAGTACCATATATAGAAAAATACAGTCAATGGCACATTGAATAATTAAAAGCTGAAATATTTCTTCTTAGGTTGGGACAAGGGGGTTCTGGCTCCACCACTCCTAATATAGTCCTGAAGTCTTAGCAAAAGCAATTGGAACAGAAGGGATAAAGGCATCCAAATTGGAAAGGAAGAAGTTAAAAGTATCGATATTTTCAGATGCCATGATTTTACCTAGTAAAACATAAACACTCTATTATAAAGCTTTTAGAACTTATAAAACATCAGTAAAGTTGCAGAATACAGAATCAGCACACAAAGAACAGTAGAATTTTAACATACCTGTAACTTGTCGAGAAAAATCCCATTAATAAGCGCTGGAGGGAAAAAAATCTCCAAAGTATTTAGGGCAAAAAAAATTAGTCTAGAGGGGCTGGAGAGATGGCTCAGTAGTTAAGAACATTGACTGTTCTTGCAGAAGATCCAGGTTCGAATCCCAGCATCCACATGGCAGCTAACAACCGTCTGTAACTCCAGTCCCAGGGGATCCGACAGCCTCTTCTGACCTCTGCGGGCATTGCATGACAAAGGGCACTTACCTACGTGCAGGCAGTACACACATACACATAAAATAAATAAAATTTTTAAAAATTAGGACGTGAAAGATTTGCCACAGTGAAAATTGTAAAATATAAATAATTTATAGAGGACACAAAAATGGAAACGTGCCCCATGTTCTTTATCAAATAAATTAATATCATGAATCTATAGAGTTAATGTGAATCAAAGTAATCAAGATACCAATAACTTTCTTCCAAGAAGTAAATGAAACAATTCTACAATTCATATAGAACCACAAAGAATTCAGAAGCGCTACAGCAATTCTGAGGAGGAAAATTAGAAGACTGATTGTGTGCAATTAAATGCAAGCTGATAAAGGAAGCATTGGAGGCATTTAATGTTGCAGTGGGTACACATGCAGTGGGTAAAATAAATAGAAGCATGCGGCTCCTAAAGTTCACACTTCATAGTCAGCATTTGAAGTTTCACATCCAAATAAATTGCACTTTAATACTTAAGATAATTTTGATGACATCTGAAAGCCCTGAAAATTGACATTTATGTTGGAATGAAAAGTTACACGTTTGTTCATTGTATTCAGTACCCGCTCATTGTAACAGTAGAAAAAACTCTATTTGCTTCCTAAGGGTCCGTGTAAATTCATATCTATTATGTATAATTTTTCCTGCATAGTTTTTTATTAATAAATGTTAAATGAAAAAATAGACATCCCTGTCTTTATCTAGAATTAATAAGAAGGTGCTCATCCACATCCTTTTTGGGAATTATGGAAAATCATTCCACAAAGCCATGGAAAGCATAGCAATTTATAATTCATAAACTATTGCTTTTCAAGGACAGAATTTAATATATAGGGGAAACCACCTATAAGTGAACGCCAATGTTTTAATATAAAAGCATACTAATTTTTTTGTATTATTATGTCTGATAATATAAAGGTTTGTGAAAGCTTTGAATATGTTTTTTTCTGAGGTTCTAAAGTTATGACTTTCTTAAAGTGCTTTGCAATTTTAAGGTAGAAGAAACTGTCTTGAAAAATCTAAAGTGTACAATGTAGGAAACTGCTGAGTAAAATATATTGTCTTTTTTAAGCCTCAATTGGGTCACAAACATTTTCTTCTCTTTCTTTTGGATGTGAAATTGTAATAACTTAAAACAGTCACGTTTTTTAAAGGTGCCACAAGAAGAAAACAGAAAAGAAAAACTACCACAAGAGTGGGGGCAAATAAAATTCTTACTTTGACTTCATCTACTTTCCAAAATCTAGTCCTCAGAGTTAGATACATAAGAATAATGTTGTGTTCAGGCGATCTCAAATGGAATGAATTTCTTTAGACAGAGTTACCTTTGAGTGCAGCTGTGTAGTCTCTGAAACGGCTGCTAGCCTTGCTGTGACTTTTCTATCTCAAAAGTTGCACAGCTAAATAGATAAAGGAGATAATTCTAACAGAAAGATATTCATTTACCTGTGCCATTGGTCGATGACAGACTTGGATGGTAACCTCCAGATTATTCGAGGTTTGGGATCCCCAGTTGCTGAGCAATTCAGTAGTAATTTCTCACCCAAATTCACCTCTGTCCGTTTCTGGGAGGAAAATTCTATCCTGGGGACTGTCTCACGCTCTTCCACTGTTAGAATCACCACCCTTCTTTCTGAGCCTGAAGAGCTGGTAGCAATACATTCATAAGTGCCCCTGTCCGTAGGGGCAATGTCTTTTATATACAGAGTCCCATTTGAATACAAGAGCAACTTGGAATGAGTCAACTGCAATGGTTTTAGTTCAGTCCCATCAGAGAGGACCCAGTGAACACTGGGCTGGGGAGTCCCTTTTGCAGTACAAGGCAGCTTCAAACTTTCACCCGAAGTCCTAGCAATGAATTGCTTCTTTTGTTCTAGAATTACAGGGGGAGATGTGATGACTTGTACCTTAACCAATAGTGAATCCTGGCCAGCTGGGTTGCTGGCTATGCATTTGTAAAAGCCACGATCATAAATACTCAGATCATGGATGACCAAGGTTCCATCAGGCCTTAGCAGGACCGTTCCCTTTCTCTCAGATGTTTCTGAGACCACTGTTTGGTTTGCCAGAATCCAGGAAATTGTAGGGCTTGGTTTACCTTCCACTCTGCACTTCAGTTCCACAGTACTTCCAGAATGAACTGTGATCTCATTGGTACGCCTCTCCAGGATCCTTGGGGGATAGGAAACCACAGACAAGGTGACATGAAGGCGGTCTGTGCCCAGTGGGTTAGATGCTGAGCACAGGTACTGTCCACGGTCCTGAACACCGACTTTCTGGATGGACAGGGTGCCGTTGGGAAGCACATGGAACCTGCTTTGCTGTGTCCTTTGAGATAGTTCAAGTCCTGATAAGAGGAAAGAAATTTATATACATATATACATATGATCAAAGACTATATAGAAAACATGAAGCTTTGTTTTTGTTAAGTTACTGACAATACATTTAAACTACAGAAAGTCTAGACCAGATTGCTAAAGCTATTTCTCAATTTTTTATTCATGCAACCTAAAACCAGATAATTCACCATAATGACAGTTCTCCTTTTCAAAGAATTTATGTATGTACACACACACACACACACACACACACACACACACACACACGGTTGTGTGTGTGTGTGCGTGCTCTGCTTTCAAAGTATTTTTTTTAAACATTCTGTGTTTTGAGACAGGATCTCATTATCTAACCTAACCTGGCCTTGAACTTGTTATGTAGTCCAGTCTGGCCTTAAGCTCATGATCCTCCTGCTTCAGCATCCCTAGGGCTGCAAGTATAGGCATATGCCACTATATCTAGGTTTAAAAACGTTTAAAATTTATTACTATTACTATTATTATTATTATTATTATTATTAGTAGTAGTAGTAGTAGTAGTAGTAGTAGTAGTATTTGGTCTTTTTGAGACAGGGTCCCCCTGTAGCCCCAGCTGTCCTGGAACTCACTATGTAGATCAGGCTGGCCTGAACTCACAGAGATACTCCTGCTTCTGCCTCCTAAGTGCTTGGATTAAAGGCATGCACCACCACAACATTTTATTCATTTTTGTGGGGTGGGGCACACATGCCACTGTGCAGATGTTGAAATCAGAGAACAACTTATGGGAGTCAGTTCTTACTTTCTACCATGTGGGTCTTGGGGTCTGAACTCAGGTCATCAGGCTTGGCAGCAAGTGCTTTTGCCAGCCAAGCTATCAAGCCAGCCCCCAAAACTGTTCTTAGTGAACATATTTTAAAATTTTCTAATGGCTTAAAATATGCAAATGTCAAATGAGGATATTAATAGCTTCTTTATTTTGAAGAGATTTAAAGCTAGTGCTTGTTCGTTGGTGAGACATAACCCTGAAATGTGAAATCTTGTGCCTGTTCACAATTGAAGTAAAACAATTTCTAATACCTGATGAGACTCTGGTCCAGCGGATGGTGGGCAGGGGGTTTCCAACAGCCTCACAGGGAAGAAAGGCATCTGAGTTAGCTGGAATAGTAAAACTCGCAGCCTTTCCTCCAATGATTCTGGGCCTTTTCAATGTATTCTTAGACAAAAGGTCAGAGGGTAGTTCAGAAGTTGATGTTTGAACTGGTTTCTCACCAGAACCATCATCTTTTTCATTCTTCTGCTCATCCCTGGCCTCTGGGAAGCTGAGAGAGGACCACATACTCACTGCTGTCTTTTTGCCCTTTTCAACAATTTCTAAGTATGACTTTTGCTGAAATCGGTTTTCTGGCCAGGGAGAGGGCTCCCGTTTAGAATTCTGTGCTTTATCTATTCTTAGTGTTGATATGGGAGTGGAAGGGAACAGATTAGAATAGTGAGTGGTGCCAGGTGGGAGCTCCGGATTTGGGTGAGCCTCTGGAGGTGTTGCAGCCTCTGTTCTGGATTGCTGCAGATCTGTATGGTGTCTTGAGGGTTCCTGGCTAGTGGCCATTGTATTTGTCATTATCTTGAAACCTGGCATGGCTTCATTGTCTGTAAGTGTACTCTGAGGAAAGTGAGGAGAGGTAGGAACAGGCATTGGAGGAGCCTTGCTCCTGAGAACTGCTTGTGCTGCTGAGGTGCTCTTCATTGTGTTGTTCTCATGTGATTTGCTGAATAAAGTTGTGCTCTGTGAGGTCTCAGCATGCTCCTGGGGAAGTACTTCAGTAACACTTCTGACACTGGGAGATCCCGAGTGAAGACCAGCTGTCCTTATAATTCTGCTGGTGTCTTGTAGTGGGGGTTCAGTGAAAGCAGAGGTGCTGGGCTTTATGGAAGTGTCAGCCGATGGAGCAGAGGATATAGTGAAGCCAGAGCTCCGGGTGGGAGTGCTGTTTGGGTCATTCCTGTTCTGCTCCTTTATTTGTTCTTGCTCTTCTTTGGGTCTTCCTGCTTGGGTTTTATAGATAATGACAGATGTAGGGGCAGTGGGGATTGCTGCAGTGACTGTTCCCACGGATAGGAAGGTCACTGTACTAGATCTCTTGCTTGTGGTATTAGGAAACGTGGGTGGAAAGGGTGGGAAGGTCAGCTCCTTCCCTGGTGGGAGGTTTCTGGCGGTGTGTACCACAGTGGGGTAGTGCTGAGTGGCAGACAGAATTTGCATCAGACTTGCTGAGTGTGTTGTGGAATGTGAGGGGGAGTCTTTATCTGTGGGTGAAAGAGGAGATATTTTAGGAAACATTGTTGCTGTGCTCTTTTGTAAGCCAAATTGATGCAGATTCTTTATTAACCCTTTTTGTTTATGGTTATTTACAAACATCTGATGCCAGGGAACTTTCCTTCTTGAAAATTTTGTGTTGGATAACTTAGTTGGCATTGAGGGTTTGATAAAGGGGACTGGAAGTGGAGATGTCACCACCAAGTTTCTTTCAGCTTCACTGGAACTAGACACACTTGGATGATCATTATCAGATATGGGAGTGTTTTCCAGAGATATTGGAGCAGATATTGGAGCAGAAGTCATGCATGTGTCAGCTGGAATTGCTTGGATATGTTCAGTGCTGATATATTTTATGGTGGTGGTTGTTTTCTCAATGCCTACATTTTGCATATTCTTAAGTAGTAACGAAAGATTCTGGACTACAGTTGTAGACTCTTCTGCTATGACCTTGGCAATGTCAGCTTCGGGGAGGGTGCTAGGGGATGAACCTAGAACTGATAATGCTGCTGCAGCCTGGGTGATCTTCTCTGTGGAAGGACAGAATGGGCACATCTCATGGAGTTCTGTGGCTGAAAACGCACTACTACTTCTGTTAGTGGGTCCCCTGAGTGCTGGCCTCACAATGCCGTATCTGTGACGTCGGAGAACTGAGGTTCTATATGGACTGATAATTCGCCCTCTGCCCCAAATTTTCCTCTGTCTCCCAAAGTGTCTGGACAGTGGGAGGTTAGTTGTACTGTTTTTAGGAATCTGAACCAGAGAAGGAGCAGCAGTGTGTGAATCTGAAGGGAACTTTGGGCTGCTAACTTCTTGAGTAGTGTGAAAATAGACGGAACTAGTCCTGGCTTTGCTGACTGCTGTTACAGGTATCTGATGGCCATGATGGTCTGTGGGATTTACTGACTGTAAGACTATATCAGCTTTTTTATTAGAGCTACTAAGCATGTTGATGTGGCCATCTGTGACAGTATTTCTCCCTGTCACTGGGTATGCGCTTTGAAAAGGTGCTCCTCTTCTTCCGACCTGAGCAGCATCCTGATAATCAGCTGCTCTAGGAACCAATGGAAAGACAGTGACTGAATTTGGGTTGGCTGTGCCTTCTATTTCCCTTGCTCTCGTTGGGTTTTGGTTCTTTGATGCAGCTGTAACATTAATAGCTTTAGGTAGTTTAGAATCTGTAAGATGCTTGGATTGTGGTTTTTGTGGACTCACAAATGAGGAGACATCTGTGCCAGAAGTTATATTTGTCCGAAATCCATGAGGTACAGGTCTCGAGTCGTCAGGGGTTGTCTCTGCTGAGACACTAGAAGTTTTAGTTTTCAGAACCACAAATTCTTCTTCTAGAGAAGGCATGCCCGAAGAGCCTTCATCCCCGCCAAGGACCTCCACGGGTGGGATGACCAGTGGCAGTGGCTTTGCTGTAGGATTTTCGTGTTTCTCTGGCACAGTACTCTTTTTTGCTTTCTCTAAAAGTGCTGCCCAGTGTTGTGGGTCAATTCTCCGAGCAGAGGGAGGAAAGTGCCTCCTGTCCTCCCTGAAGCGCCGTTTTATGGAATCTCCTCGCCACCTCTGTGTGAACTCCCTATAGTGGTTCTTTTTACGTACACCTGAGGCTTGCTTTCCAACCTCTGCCTCTGTTGAGGCTGTTGTAGAGGGTTTCGGATGTAGTGGCTGCTTCCCGTGAGCACTGGGAGTGGGCTTTTCAAGTCCAGACCCATCTGCTTCCTCATCGTGTTCCACTGACCTTCGACCTTTTGTTTGGACCGAAACATGAAAAATCAAAATATCAACCCCTGATGGGTTGGCTGCCACACAACGATAATAACCTTGGTCTTTTGGGGTAACCTGTAATATTCTTAATGTCCCATTGTTAAGAATTAGTCTGTCTCTTGAGTCTCCTGATGACTGAGAGAACACAGTATTTCCTGGAAGAACCCAGCTAATAGTAGCATCTGGAATACCACTGGAAGGGCACGGAAGATCGAGTGTCTCACCAGTAAACACTGTTTGCTGAACCCTACTTCCATGCGTGGCTCCTACATCAGGTTCCACCACAGTTATCCTAAAGGTGAGAATATCTGCATCAGCATAATTCGTGCTTATGCAGTGGTAAAGGCCGGTGTCAAAGGTGTCAGCCATCTGGAGTTCCAATTTTCCATTCTTGTCTATTAGAATCCTTCCATCCTCACTGACATAAGGGGCTCTCACTTTACTCCCATCAGCTAGAAGCCATTCCAAGTGAGGTGAAGGGTCACCACGGCCTGGGCAGTCCAGGGCAATGGTACCACCAGCCACAGCAGTGTATTCCAGTTTGGCATTGTTCTTTGTCAGAATCATAGTCCATTTGAGTCCTTGAGTCACAAGGCTGGTCTCTGCCCTTGGTAAAGTGGCTTGAACATCACTTGAGAACTGGATCTGTAATGTGCTAAGTGTGGTAGCAGTTCTGTTCAGCTGCAACAAAATTTTGTCTTGCATTAACCAAGAAGGATCTGCTCTAAGATCAGCCTCTATGCTGGTAAAAGTGTCTTCAGACATAAGAGCCACCTGTTTATATTTGTAAGACAGCTTTGGAGTTTCAGTGAGCAAGTGCTTTCTTTCTAGTATGAGAGGAGAATCACTGTACAAGGCTAGAATTTGCCACACTGGCTGAATGTGACTGTAATCTGTACTGCATATCAGATTTGTTGAAAATGACATATTTAGCATGATGTAGTCATTTTCCTCAGTGAATGCAATGGGCAGGGTCCTGGAAGGCTTCTGGATATTGCAAACTACGTTAGCCTCATTCCTAGACATGTCTGTCATGTTCAAAGTCAGGGAGCCAAAAGGTGCCATGAAGTCTTGGGTTGAAATGGAGGCAGGTCCGTTGTCTTCCTGAACCGTCAGGCTTTTGGACTTCAGAGATGGGTCAATAGTTGGCTTTGTACAGAGGAAGGCTTCAGCTGCTACCATAGCAAAGCGTTTGCCTTTAGAGATCCCTGGGCTCATGCAAAGGGGACATTGCTGAGAACTGGAGGGACTTCTGTCTTTCTTACATTTTATCACATCTAGGAAAAAACAGTCATTGAATTATTTCCAGCTGCGGAATCTATAAGCCAATACATGAACATTTTAAAGAAATCATTTCATTGAAACTTGAAGCAACAATTTGGAAAATTTAGTGTTTAATGACTGGGTTTTTTTGTTTTATTCCCTGAAGTGATTTTGAAAAAACATATTGTCTACACATCCTGTAGCACTATAACATGCATAAGACAAGGGCTTGCCAGACTTACTCATGGCTGCATTTATTCTGCCTTGAAAACAGTTGATAAATATTTCTACTCGGTATTAGCTGAATGAATGATTTCCTTCTCTAGAGAAACAAAATAACGTGCTCATATTCATCACTTTAAATACACATCAGTTCCTCATTTCAATGTTATAGGAAAGTCATAGAATATCAGTAAAAATCCAAGTATTTTTCAGTTATGTGAAAGACTTTTAGTCATCTAACTTAGAAACAGGAATGGAGAGAAACAGACAGGATGAAGCAAGCAAAAAAACCCATAAGAAGTGAGGATTGATAGAACATGGAAGGTAATTGGGGGGGCCAGTCCAGATTCATATGTGATGGGCCTCCTAGATGAGGTGCTTAGTAGTGAAGAGCTAGGTTTAATGGGGAGGGGAGAGATTGTACCCAAGCAGTGATGTGACTCATTAAAGGTTTGACATTCTGGCAAAGTCAAAGTTTTCAAGTCATATGTAGGACTCTACTTTCCACATCATAGAAGACTCCTGTTCATATAATGAGATGCCATAGACTTTGATGTTCAAATATTGCTCCAAGGAGCCTATTTAAAACAGTTAGTCACTTTATACTGGATAAGAGGTATAAAATTTTACCTGAAACAAACACTTTGAGACTTCTCTACTGTCCCATGCAGTAGCTCCTGCACTGTGCCCTGTGCGCATGCCCAACACTTAAGGGAAACATCAGGCTTCAATCTAATTTGTGAGGACAACTTCACACATATGCAATTTCCCTGTAAAGCTCTAAGGAAGTCACTCTGACCAAAGGCTTCAAGCCTTTCAAGTACGTAGCAATCCTCCCTCACCTACTGTTTTCTCCTCCATTTAAGTCGCCTAGAGCCAGCCATGGCCCAAATATATTAATTGGAAATTCTAAAAATATAAGTATTGAATTGCATGTAGTTCTGAATGCCATGATGAAATCCCATGTTCTCCCACCGGGCCCCACCCAAGTATATGATGCAATTCCTCTTTCCAGTGTATCCATCCTATATATGTTACATGCCCTTTAGCTACTGAGTAGTTACCTCAGGTATCACCTGGACTTTCATAATGCTGTGTTTGAGTGACCCTTAGTTTATTAATAATATCCCCAAACACAAGAGTGGTGATTCTGGCTAATTCAAATATGCCAGAGAGAGGCCATGAACATGATTCGGAATTTCAAATGAAAGTTTTCAACCTAGGGAGAGAAAATAAAACATACTGAGGTTCTAAGATCTATGATAGGAATCAATCTTTTATGTGTGAAATTATGAAGAAATGAAAAGAAACTAGGCTAACTTTACAGCTTTACTTAAATTGCAGAAGTTAGGGCCAGAGTGGGTAAAGAGTTTAGATAAGACAAACATGGCATTGCTTGGTAAAACCTGTGGTTTTCTACATCTACTTCGAGTCTTGGAATGCAGCCTTCATGGATAAAGGAACACAACTGCACTTCAGTGTACAGTAATGTCACAGATATTTGTTTGTTGATTATTTAACAAGTTTTATAGTCTAAGTTGCGCAGAGGACGAGGTCAGGTCAGAATGAAAAGTCTTGAACAACCGTTGGGGACTTCTGGTGTCACCCCTAACAAGCCGTGCTTCACCGGCTTGTCAGTACACTGGCTCAACCCTCATGAAGAAGTTGAACACAGTCAACTTCTCATTGCAGAACTATGACTACATCTTGGTGTGTCATATCTGGTATGCTGACAATTGCTCGTACCTGAACCAGAATTGTTAGGCCTTGCGTTTGCCTCATGTGCAAATCCCAGTGTGTCACTTCCATTTCCTTGTCTACATCAATTTTCGTTCTCACAGTGCTTTCCATACCTCAGTCTTGTCGTTCTATGCCAAGCTCTGGCCTAACCTACTCCTTCCACCTCCCATACACTCTCTGTCAATCTAACAAGTCGTCTTCCGTAATACACTCTACTCAAGGACTAGGCTGAACAGCACTTATTTCAAGTAGGGCTCTGCTCTACCTTCTCTTGGTACTCTTTGCTTTCCTACCTTGCCCTTCACCACTCACCATTAGAATGCCTTGTTTGGTTGGTTGTCTTCCCACAGGACAGTAAGCTCTATTTGTTGACATGTATGTGTCCGTGCCTGGCCAAGGGATGTGCAGGAAAGATTCAGTTCAGGCAAGAAGGGAAGAAAAGAGAAATAGAGAAAGGATGAAAGGAAGTGGTGGGAAAGCAGGCTGTTGGCAGGACCAGTTCTAAGACCCTATTGTCTACACATTTTAACATATAAAGTGAGATGGTTGAAGATGTTTTATGGCAAGAATTGGCCACTTGGCAGTCTTGATATAGATATCACCACCTGTAGACCAAGAAAGATTAGCATTGCTATTTTTATTGTCTTTTTCTCAATTCCGTCACATGCATTACTGGTACTGCCTATGTTGTTTGCTACCTGAGATGCATTTATGAAGACTAGACTACAACTTGGCATTATCAAAAAGTTAAATTCATAGAGATGCCTAGAAGCAGAGCAATGAGACATAAATTTTATATTCGTGAACAAATGCTTGCCAGAAAAATGGCAAAAATTCCTATTTATAGAAAAGCAACACAAGAGTTCTGTGTAACAAAAAAATGGAAGATGCATGTAGAAGACGGAATATTTACACTGGACTGTGTACTGAGTGTCTACTGAGTGTGTACTGGGTGTGTACTGAGTGTGTACTGGGTGTGTACTGAGTGTGTACTGGGTGTGTACTGAGTGTGTACTGGGTGTGTACTGAGTGTGTACTGGGTGTGTACTGAGTGTGTACTGGGTGTGTACTGAGTGTGTACTGGGTGTGTACTGAGTGTGTACTGGGTGTGTACTGAGTGTGTACTGGGTGTGTACTGAGTGTGTACTGAGTGTGTACTGGTTGTGTACTGAGTGTGTACTGGGTGTGTACTGGGTGTGTACTGGGTGTGTACTGGGTGTGTACTTAGTGTGTACTGGGTGTGTACTGAGTGTGTACTGGGTGTGTACTGAGTGTGTACTGGACTGTGTACTGAGTGTGTACTGAGTGTGTACTGAGTGTATACTGAGTGTGTACTGGGTGTGTACTGGGTGTGTACTGAGTGTGTTCAGAGAGGCCACCTCTGTTGTATCCAGTGGGAGAACTGAGGCTGTGAGATACTGTCAAATTTCTAAGAATAGGTTAAAACATTTCTAAGATAAGTTTGATTTGTTTGATTTATGGGTCTCGTAAAGATTGTTGGTCAGATATCAAAGGCACAGGTAGAACCCTTCATTTAAACATGAAAGACACTAGCCCTGGAGGGTTTGTCTAATTTTTTGATACATATATGTGTGTATGTATAGGGCATTCATATATGTTGTATATTACTACATATGGAATGCACATATAAATTTTTGTAGCTTTTCACACACATATACATATATGAATGTTTAGGACATATTAAGACCATAGGTATCTAGTAGGTAGGTAACTGGTAAGCTCATTTGTTTTCACCATTAAAATAGTTATATAATTAATAAACAATTTAACAAAAACTATTAAGTACATACTGTGTTTCAGGTATATTATGGGAGCTAGAGATAGATAAATTTGACATAGAAAAGGCAGCGACCATCTGATTCTATACATACAGTATGTTGTTCTTTCAAGAATAGAAACAGATAAACAGATAAACTATAGAAGTGATGGAGTCAGTACCTTGATACAGATGAAGGAAAGGAGCAGTGTGGCTCCCCAGAGGGATGAGGGCTGAACAGTTTGCTGCCGGGAAAACACAGAGCAGAAAAGGAACAGAAGAGCTCCAGGCTGGAGCAGCAGCAGGTGTGAGTGCTGAAGTATGTCAGGAAGTTCAGAGCAGGAGCAAAAGGCCTGTGTGTCTGGGAAGGAATGGGGGGGGCGTGAGGGTTTTATAGAGGAAGGAAGTGAGGCTGAGGATAGACCTGGGCCACATTAGCAGACCTGTCAGGTAGGCCAGGAATCCTGGGCTTGATTCTCTAAACCAATGATGAGCAAATCTTTTTTATGCAGAATGCCAGGTTAGGTAAAGAATTTCAGCCTCAGAGACCACAGGTCTCTCTTAATGTAACTTCCTGACTTTACCTGACACAAACACAGATAATGGGCTTAAAGACTTCAGTGTCACTGATGTCTTACTGGGACTTCATTTTCCTTCCAGCTAAATTACCTAAAATGTCCCCTTAGAGATAAAACACCTCCCACTGGTTCCTCTATTTAATTAGTGCTAGGAAATAAACATATGTATACCTGGTTTTCCCTGGGTCCATTCAGACAACCACTTTAAATGGCAGTCACAGGTCCATGGGTTTCCATGCAGATAAAGGCTTTCTAGGTCTGGCATGTAAGAGACCATCTCTTCCGGGAGGGAGGTCAGGAAATTATCTGACAAGTACAGGTACTTAATGAAAGACATTTTAAATATCTGGAGGTAGCTCAGTGAGACAAATGTGTCTGGATGGAGCTTTGTAAGCCGATTTCCCTCTAAATGCAGCAGGCGGAGCAAGGTGAGTCCATAAAAAGCCTCAGGATTAATAAACTCAATGCTGTTGTGATCCATGTGCAACCGGGTCAAGCTCCTCAGTCCATAAAAAGTATCTTTTTGAATTTTTTGGAGTTTGTTATAGCTCAGTTTTAAAACCTATGAATAAAGAGATGAATACATTTATTTTGCCAAAGGATTTCTCCCCAAAGCGAAAAGTCTATCAATATCAAAAGACGTTGAAATTAATCTCATGCAATGTGCATACCTTAGCAAGAACCGTATTTAAACAAAAAAGTTGCTAATTAAATGTGACAATACCAGATAAATTGAAACATACATGAACACTTGCTAATATTAAGGAATTATTGCTGAAATTATGCATAAGATGACGGTATTGTGGTTGTTTTTAAAGGTTTCTTTAGTATTTTATTCTATATACAGATTAAAGGTTTCTTTAATATTTTATTCTATATACAGATTAAAGGTTTCTTTAGTATTTTATTCTATACACAGATGAAACATCATAACAAGTTGTAAGTGGAATGTGGGCACAGGAGTGCAAGTCATACAGGCTCTGTTCACTAATGTGCCTTGAAACCGGGTAATGACCCACTGGAGTTTTTATTTATTTATTTTTAATAACTTTTCAGATTAGAATACATAGTAATGGTTTTCATTATGGAATTTAAATACATATATGTCATTCCAATCTGTTCCAATTTGTCTCCTTCCCTCTGCCTGCCCCGTGCCCCAACCTTCTGCTCTCTGGCTCCCTTTCTTCCCAAGATGGCTTAATTGAGTTTATTACATACTTCTGGCTGATTCTGCATATGGTTGAAAACTTCCATGATAAAAAAAAGTGTTTTTTGTTTTGTTTTGTTTTTTTTGAGACAGGGTCTCCCTGTACCCCCAGCTGGCCTGAAACTCACTATGTATATAGACCAGGCTGGCCTTGATCTCAGAGATTTGCCTGCCTCTGCCTCTCGTGTGGGATCAAGGCATGCACCACAATGTCCAGCTAATATAAAGGTTTTTAAATTTTTAACTTACCCATTTGTAATAGTTTTATTAAGATATAATTCAAGTGCAAAAAATAACTTCTTTCCCAGAGCCAGGTGTGGTGGGGCATGCTTTTAATCCCAGCACTCAGGGGGCAGAGGCAGGCGGATTTCTGTGAGTTCAAGGCCAGCCTGGTCTACATAGTGAGTTCAGGCCAGCTGAGGCTACAGGGAGACCCTGTCTCAAAATACCCCCCCAAAGAAAACAATGCAAATTCATTATGACATTTCTATACATCATTGTCCTTTGCCAATATTTTCCCCCATTACCTTCCACTGTGTCTCCGCTCCTCGCCAGCTGGTTCCCAACCTGCCCCAGATAACTCCCCTTCTGCTTTTATGTTACATACAGAGACACATGCACACACACACACACACACACACAGACACATATACAGACAAACATACACACACATACACATCGAAACACAGACCCACATACAGAGACACAGACCCACACACAAAGATACACACAGACACACTGAGAAGCACACACAGACACACAGATATACACAGACATATACACAGATACACACACACATATACATAGAAACACAGATGCATGTACAGAGATACACAGACACACAGAAACAGACACACAGATACACATGTATACATAGAAACACAAACATACACATAGGCACATGCAGAGACACAGATGCACACACATACACCTATATTCAAGTTTGAGAGAGAACATGGTATTTAACTTACTTTCCCCCTTATTAACCTTATCCCCTTATTCCCTGTCTTAAACCTCTAAGATTTACCTTCTCAAAGCATCTAGCATATTGACTTTCAGTATTGTTAAAAAGTTATTCAACTATCTCCGATATCGAATTTTAGAAAATTTTCATTTCCCCCAAATAAAGACCAGCTGTGATTTTCTTCCTTCCCCTATCTCTAAGCACCTAGCAAACTGCTTCAAGACGGATCCCTCTGCACCACATGTCAACACTCCATTCCTTTTTGTTGTTAAATAGTGTTCATGCTACACATTCTGTTTAATCATTCATCAGTTGGTGGACATCTGGTATGTTTACTTTTTGAATAATATGAAGTTAATTGATTCTGAGTTGAAAGTTAAAATAAATTTGAACATTGCATTATGCTTGAGTATTCTCCAAATCCCTTTCTAGTTAGTTGAACTCACTATTTCTTTCAAAAAAGAACATGAAATGCTAATTTCCTGTTTTGTTTTTCTGATTTGACCTAAGCTGTCATTTCTGTAGAAGAGGCATTTTTTTGGAATGGCAAGTTCCCTAATAAATAAAGAAAAATCAAATTGAGAACACTTAAGTGTTTTGCCCCAAATGTTTCCTGGGAGTCCAACCTCAAACCAATGTTTCTCAACGTCAGAGGAAAACTTGGCCAAGAGAATAAACACACACAGGGAGAATTCCATGGAGCATATGTGATCTATTCCTTCTGAAAACATGTACCCCTGACACAGTCTGATGTGGCCAAATCACCAGAGTTATGTACACACTCCACATATGATGCTCCCCACATGGTTAAAACCACCAAACATGGCTCTGTATTGATGGTTGAAGGCTCTATGGATATTTGATCTTTGCATTTACTTTTTTATTACACTATATACAAATGAATGTTAGAGCACATTTCTACTTGATTATGCTTTTCCTCAAGAGTAGTTTGCTTTTACTTAAAAGGTTGAAAAGACATTATGTGTCTTGAATTAGCTTCTCAAAAACTTATATGCAGACAAAGGCTTTGTGTGGTTCCTTTTAGTCCCCTCATTCTCATCCCCAGACTTGTTTAATCTTTTCATTTATCACTTTTGATAACTTTACCATATCTTATTTATTTGCAACTTAAAAGTTTGAAGATGGTAGAGGATAAGTGAGCAAATAAAGCAAGC